GTTTAATAATTAATATTCAATTAAAGCCCTGTTTAGTACACATTATTTTTTTCATTCTCATTCTTCTACTCATTTTCAACCACACATTCTTCAATAAAATAATATTTTTCATCACATCAATAATTTTTCTTTCATTTTTAACCACACATTCTCAATAAATCTACTATTCAATAATACATTCTTTCAAAAGAATGTGTCCCAAACACATTCAATATTTATCAATAACACTACCTTTGATCACCACCGACAATATTATTGACCACCATCAATGATGCTTCAATCAATGATTGTCGACAAAGAAGATGTAGGGTTGGTAAAAAAATTTGACAAACTCGATAACAGCAGGCACTACCCCGAACGAGGCATGAATAACCCGCTTAATTGGGTATTCGAGGTGGGAAATTTTGTCCCGGAGCGGGGATGGGTAATGGGCGCTCTGCCCCATTTATTATTATTATTATTTTTTTTTAGAATTCAATACTTTAAATGAAAAATTTTACAAAATTTCATTAGTTTTAATAAATGGCAACAAAAATTATTTGTTCAAGTCTAATGAATGGGAGGCAATAAAAATAAATTATCAAAAAAATTTTTAAAAATTAAACGGAGTAGTAAACGGGGAATTGCTTGGCGGGGAGGGAGGCGGGGGAGGTTGCCCCAACCCCGCCCCGCCCCACCCCACCCCACCGCCATCCCTAAGACGATGTTGATGTTACCTACAAATGTTTATTTACATTTTATAATTTATCGAAACAATAAGTTACATTTCTAATTTTTTATTTTATTTCATTTCAGGTTTTATATGTTATTGAGTCTAAGTTGATGTAAATAGCTGTATTTTGTTATTAGAAGAGAAGATTGAGCAAATTAGTGTTCCTTAGTCTTAGCCTTTTGGTAAAAAAAAATGTTTACATTATCTTGTACAACAAGTAATCAATAAGTAATAGGAGAATGAAATTATGCAACTTCAAATTGTATTTGAAGGCTATAGTTGCCTGAAAAGTCAATACTATTATGCGAGGAACTTTCTTCTTCTCGTGGTCCGAATCTTGAGCCATCTCAATCATCGATTGTTGTTGCAGATCTACCTACACTACAAGTCTACAATGATCTACTAGACAAGTTAGACCTCCTAATAGTTTACTCACATGGACACTTGCTCGTTAAGCGATGTTCCAACTCCATACCCTCAAGCCAACACAACATTCACATTGGTAGACGCTATGAACGAATACTTGGTAGCCTTGACCAAAAATCACGAGCATGTTTGAGCCCCATTTTTTTCTTTATAATGCATTTGGAATAGTAGATTGATGTATAATGTGTTGTTGAAAAATAAGGAAAAGTTTTGAGTTTGCGTGTAATATTATTTTATTAAAGATTGTGTGGTTAACAAGAAGATGGAGAAAAATATATTTTGGAAAAAAATATAGATCAAACAACATATGGGATATTTTTCCTTTCTATTAAATAGAATTCCGTTTGTTTTCTGGATCGTTATAGAGAGTGTCTTGTAGCTCTTGATGATTATTTGTAAGTGTAAAATCTACACTTATTTAAGCTTTCAAAAGTGATTTTTGTTAGTATTATTATGAAATTGATACTTGATTATTTGTATTTTTTTTATTATGTTAGGGAAAAAACTCGAGATTGGATCGAAAATTAATCAAGAAGGATAAACTTGGAGAAAATTTTGCAATTTTGGGATAAAATTCTATACTTCGGAAATCCAAGTGACTAAATTGCATCCTTTTAAGGCATTGAGGAATTGAAGACCGAAACTTAATTAATTTGGCCTTGGACTAATTAGAATGGGAGTCAATTGTTTAAGGAAATCAAATTAATTTGGACTTCTTGGATTTGGTGGAGTTGGAATGCCATTAGAATTCCAATTTAAGAAGTTGGGAATGAATTTGAATTGGAATCAAATCCTAATTAATGGGAATAACTTCTACACATAGCTGAGTTGGCGACGGAAGGACCACAAAAAAGGAAGAAAGAAAGAAAGAAAGAAGATGGACACACGGCAGGGGGAAAAATCAGAAAGAAGGTTCCATATTTTAGTGCAAATATTTCATCAATAATTGTGCAATAATTTGGAGAGAATTCATCACGTTAATCATCGTAATAGTCGGAAAATATACACTACGCAAGGAAGGAGACAAAACATATTTTTGGAATTCGTGTGACGAAGATCAACAATAGCTTGGAGGATTTTTATATTGTTTATTGTAATTAAACTCGGGGATACTTTCCAACTTTTTTTTTTTAAATTTTAACATTATGAGTAGCTAAATACTTTTTATATCAGGAAGAACAATGTAGCTTAGAGTTTTTAATAGTTGTTTAACTCCAAGAATTCATGCCACTTTAATACGTGTTAATTAATTACTGTATTTAATGCTTCAATTGCCTGCGCAACAATTGAATGATTTAAGACTAGTACTAAGACCGAGATATGACTAATGATTCTAGATCGAGAAATAAAGTATTATAAGATATCAAGAGATAATTATAGACTATGCGATTTATATTGAATTTCTATAGGCTAATACGTTCATACATGTGTGAGTTTATATAGAAATATAGTAAATTCAGGCATATGAATAAGATTAGTGTTGCTCGAGAGAGATTACTAGCTACATTAGGTTAATTCAATAGTTGGTGTGTATGAAAATGGGCTGAATGAGTTGGAATTAGATACATATTAAACAATCTAAGCCCTATTTGAGCCACATTATTTTTTTCATTCTCATTCTTCCACTCATTTTCAACCACGGATTATTCAATAAAATAATATTTTCCATTACATCAATAACTTTTCCTTCTTTTTCAACCAAATATCTAAGATTAAGTAAGAAAAATATGGGTTAGATTCGAATTTTCTCCCATTCCTTTCTTTAATATTGATACAAGACGTTTTTTATATTCCCCGTCACGTGAAACAAAAAAATCCATTCTTGAACTCAAAATATACACCAAAGAAGGCCAAGTGAAATCGAGAATCCTATCTACATAACCTCATAATCTTCTCAATCGTGTTAATTTGATTTTGTCATTTAATTTAGTAGACTTTAGTTACAAACCACAATTTGATTGATAATTGGTTACTGTTTTGCTTAAATTGAAGTTAGGTTAGTTTAAAAAGTGATAGTAGATAATAGTATATGTGGAACGATGCTTGGACTTGATAAATTCACTTTATTACTTGTTGCGATCTGTACACCTGAGGAAATCATGAACAAATTTTTGGCGCCGCTTTCGGAAACTACTTATTTAGTGCAACTTTACTTTTTATTAATTAATTCTAGCTTTGATTAAAATTTTGTTCTTGTTTTTCCTTTTGCAGGTTTCCTTCCATGCGAAGTTCGAAATTCGGCGATCTAGTACACTTTGATCGAGAAATCAAATGCACTTTCAATCAGAGAATTCAGTAACAACGAGAAAACTTCATGGCAAAACAGAACATAGAATTGCAGTCGGCACAGGTTGAACAACCAGTTGAAATTGATGAAGATGATTTGCCACTCAGACAATTCATCACACCACATGTTGCACTAATTTGGTCAAGCATTGTTTATTCTGCATTTGGACAACCGAACTTTCAACTAAGGACACATATCATTCTATTATTTTAGAACATGTTTTCTTTTTATGGAAAGTCTCATGAAAATCTACATAATCATGCCTCACACTTCTTGGACATCTATCAAAACTACAATTTTCATGAGATATTCGATTGAGCAATCAAATTGAGACTCTTTCCACATACACTTCGTGATAGGGCAAGAGAATGGTTAGATTGCCCACCAGCTGGAATGATCTCGTATAAAAATTCATCACAAAGTACTTTTCATCGTCTAAGGTAACTAAAATAAGACAGGAGATCTCCACATTTCAACGGGATGATTTAGAAAGTTTTCATGAAGCATGAGAAAGGTTTAAG